TATTCTTGTTCTGAACCATCTTATCTATGGCCTCGCACAGTTCTCGATGGTGAACTGGTTTATTCATATGGTTCTTCATAATCGTTTTTTTCCATATGGGTAGGTGGTGCAGGAAGCTGTGCTGTACGTAGTTGGAATCAGTACACACCACCATGGTCTGTATTTGGTTATTGGATGCCATTTGGACGTCGATGTGTACCCCGACCAACTCTGCATACTGGTTTGATTTTGATCCCAGCTGAAACCCCTCTTGATTCCCTGTGAGTGGGCCAGTTTTCCAAATGACTCCTGATCCAGCGTGGAGTTTGTTCTCCTTCATTTTGGAGCATCCATCGAAGTACACCATTGGTAGGTCAGCACATTGTTCCTTTCTTAAGGGCAGGTGCCTGTTGTCCTCCGGAGGTATCTTTTCAGCCTCTGCTTCTACGCTGTCTAGGGTGCAATCATGTAAATCGGCAAGACCTTGGGTCATTGGACTTTTCTTGTTTTTTGCGTATTTCACTGTGATTGGTAGGCCTTGGAGTGTCAGTGCCCAATTGGCTATTCGGCTGCTGGTTACGCGGCCCTCTCGAATCTTCTTACTGTTGAGGTACGCCAAGGATTCATGATTCGTTTCTAGGATGATTTTCTCTCCGTTCAACAAGTTTCGAAAATGTTGTATAGCCCAGATGTTTCCGAATATTGCCTTCTCACACTCGGAGAACTTCGTCTCCACTCCCCGGAGGGCTTTGCTGGCGTAGGCAATAACTCGTTTCTCTGCTTCCTGTATCTGGTACAGTACCGAGCTGATACTATGATCTGAGTATGCTGTCTCTAGGTAGTATTCTTTTCCTTTCTCTGGGTATGCTAGGCAGGATGGCCCTGTGATCTGTCGTTTTAATTCTTCCTCTGCAGGGCAGTCTGGAGTTCATCAAATAGGTCTCTGGATATCATGGATATTTCTGCTCCAGTATCACAAAGGCCCTGGCTGGTCAGGGTGTCTTGCAGTATTACTTCCACGTGGACTCGTCCGACCGGTCCTACGGGAATTAATTCCCCCAGATGGTACCCTTTACCCTCTGGTACCACCTCGGTGACTGCTTTGGTGTTTCTTGAGTTTCTTATGTTCACTTGGGCTGTCTTTGTGTTGGGTGCGTCCTCTTCCTGTGTGTGTTCCGTTGGTATTCTTGCCTTGGCTGTTCGCATGGGAGTCTTCATAATCTCTTGATGTTCTCTTTCCATCCGAATGTAGTGAGCGTATCGACTCCTGTTGGCTGCCTGTGGTCTATGCCCTATTGCTAGCGGAGGCAGCAGTGGGAGACGATATGGGGATTGGTTCGGTGGGCGTCGGCCTCCGCGGGGTAGGTATGATCCGTCATTCGCTCTCCATCCTCCATAGTTCCAAGATCCGCCCTCTTCTGTATTCCAGGGCTGTGGCGGCTGTAGGTGCCAGGTTCCTCTGGCTTCGCTTCTCTCCCCCGTGGAACGTTGTTCAGCGTGTTGCTGATGAGTGTTGATTTTAGTGGATGTGGCGCCCTCTCCTGGGGGGTTTCATGTTCGTTCCATGTAGTGCTGTTATTATTTCCTGGAAATTCGTTTCCCTCCAGATTGAGACGTTCTTTGTCTTTGGTGATGTGTGTTTTGGCTGTGCTAGTGGTTCTCCGTCCGTTCACCCAGGCCGTGTGGGCCTTGCTTTCAATCTGGCGTAAGGAAGCAATCTCGGGGTCTAGCATCATTCCTACTATCATTATTTCAGGTCTTAGTGATTGGAAGAACATAACTTTTAATATGTTCCCTTCTTCCTGGGCGTTGTCCACGTCACCTGCGGAATATGCTGTCTTGAGGCGTAGGAGATAATCTGGTGGGTCTTCGTCTGCATGCTGAGTCATCAATTTTGCCACGTTCAATCCTTCAGATAGTGTGGAGTATTCCCCAAATGTTTTAACTACTGCTCGGCTTAATTGCTTGAAATCGCTCTTGACCCTATTTGGCAGGGAGGTTACCCATGGTTTGGCGGTTTCATGTAAGCTCCTTGATAATAAACATGCTTTTTCTGCTGATTTACCCAGACCCTGGATCTTAGCCTCCTGTCCTACTGTAGCTATGTGAGTGTGTATATCCCTGTTCTTGTGTGGATCGAAGTAGGGAATTCCCATGAGCGCTTTGTCCATTAGTTTGAGGGTTTAACTGTTAAAAGTGTGTTGTTCGTCGTCGGTGGTGTCTGTTCCTGAGGAGTGCTCACTCGAGCTGTCCCTGTCTTCGCTATCACTGCTGTCATGTTTTCCTTGTCTGTGTCGTGGTCTCCCTCTGTCCGAGGATTTGTATCTGTCCCGTAACTTGTGTCCATTTGTTTTTCTTATGTGGGCCTTGTGATTCGTGCTTGTGGTTTGGTGTGCGTGATCTCCTTGAGCTGTGTTTATGTGGTGAGTGTTTTTGTCCTTGACCTTCATGCCATCTACCACGTGCGTGATGTCTACTAGGTGATGTGCTGTATTTATGTTGGTCTCGTGCTTCGTGACTGTCGGGATTCCTGTTTTTGTCATCTGCGGTGCGGGTGGTTTTGTCTTGGTGATTACGTGTCGTGCGTCTCTCTGGTAAGTTGTCCCTTTTACCCGTGTTATGTTGGTCATGTTTGCGTGAGGTGCGTTTCTCTGGTGAGCTGTCTGAGCTATCTGTTTGGTCATGTTTGCGTGAGGTGCGCCTCTCTGGAGAATAATCCCTGCCATAGGTTCCACGTCGGTCGTGCTTGCGTGGAATGTGTCTACCAAGTGAGCTGTCTCTGTCATCTTCATCATGTCGGTCGTACTTGCGTAGCGTGCGTTTTCCTGGTGAGTTGTCTGTCATGTTGCTCGTCTCGCCCCAGCTCCGCCCTTTTTCGCTCTATCAATACAGAATATCCTGGTGACTTAGGGTTAATATTTTGTCTCTTTCTAACCTCGAGGTGGTCATCCTCCTGTTTTCCTGTTTTTATCCGTATTTCTCCTTCCCTCCCCTCGAATTGCGAGGGGGTTTCTTTATCAAAATTTCTTTGCATGGTAGCCATACTTTTTGGGGGATTTGGCCCTGGCTACGTCCGAATGGCTCGAAGTGTGGTAAACTGTTGCTCCCGTATGTGTTATGTGTATCAACGTCTGGGGGTTCCGCTGGTGCAGCTAGCGCCGATTCTCTGTCTGTCTGTGTGAGGAGATATGAGTCTAACCTCGCTATTTCTGCAATTTTTACGTCAAGTTTGGCTTTGCTACATTTCATCACGTCCTTAAGTAGTTTCCCTCTATGTGTCTTAACATCTTCTATATGTCTCCCCTCCCATATGTCTCTCTGCTCTGTCTGCTCTCTAGCAGTCCGTCCAGTACGTTTTAACACAAATTCACGATATTGTTTTTCCATAGATTCCATCTCCTCCTCGGAGGTCTACTCTGTATCGATGTTATGCGTTAGGGTGTCAAACTCAGAATGTTGCGGGTCATGTGCCATCTCTATTATGTAGTGTAGTTAATAGACTTAAGAGTGTATCTTAATTCTAACATCTCATGTGCGTGAGGTGCGTTACTCTGGAATTTCACCTCAGAGCGCGTATAAAAACATTTGTATCACAGGATGTGTTGGTTCGACTCGAGCAAATAATCTTACTCCAACTGTCTTTGTTATACACTGCTACTCTGGTATTTCCTTCAGAGTGCGTTTTTGTTTGTTTTACACGCGTTACAGTCACAGGGCAATGTTTGTTCCCAATGCCTCGGTTAATACAACAGTGTAAACTGTCTGCGAGAGATCCCGGACGAGCCCCCAATTTGTTGTATATGTGGGTGTGTGAAAATTTGATGAAAATAATGAAAATTATACGCATAATTACACAAATTAACATAATTTCGGATAAATTATGCAAATTTCATTTAATTTTCATTTTCATCAAATTTTCACACACCCACATATACAACAACAGACTAGCTGTACTACCCGGTTTCGCCCGGAACTTGGATCCACCACGCCCGGCCGCCTTTGTTTCCCCAGTGGTGATGTTCACGCCCCACACCACTTACTCGTTTGAGGCTGAGTCGACCTAGGGGAGGCCCAGGACCGGTTCAAATAATCGTCACCGGTGGTGGTGGCCGTGAGCGGGAATCGAACTCGGGTCGCCGGGTTCATAGCGCAGCGCGCGAACCACTACGCAGTCGCTGCCCCCCCTCCACACACACACACAGGATAAAGATCCCCCATGTAGCCTGTGGAACTGTAGGGGGCAAGTGCTGTTAGCGAGCACCTATGAAGGCCGGCACGGCACACGAGGGGGTGGGTGGCCAGCACCACGCCCAGCTGCCTTTGTCCCCCCAGTGGCGATGTTCATACACCACAGCAGTTACTCGTTTGAGGCTGAGTCGACCTAGGGGAGGCCCAGGACCGGTTAAAATAATCGTCACCGGTGGTGGCCGTGAGTAGGAATCGAACTCGGGTCGCCGGGTTCATAGCGCAGTGAGCTAACCACTCTACTACAATGCGTTACGCTTCCACATGCGCAGGTCACATGACAGATTTGACGTCACAGCTCACTTGCCATGCAAAAAATAAATGCATTATTGAGCTGCCCTCCCCCCCCCCCCCAAAAAAGTGTATTTTTATCATTTTTGCATGGTGTACAGTCTGGAAAGTACCCACGTGGCAAATTTTAAGTTTGTTGCATGTCGGGAAGTACGCTAAACATTTTGAACAGACACACATAATCACAACTTTGCCTTTTATTATATACAGATGTAAACTTCAAGAATAAACATGGATGGTCCATTTGTTCAGTACATGGCTGCTGCTTCTTTGATATACCTCTGTTACTAAAAACAACAATACATTTATTTACAATGTAATACTTTGGACAAACTGTTGTATTATTAAGAAAAATAATTAACACATCATGCATCATGTGGTTGATATAAAATATGACTCTTCTATATGCCATTGCAAATGGCGTACTTATCCCTGGGTATACATTTATTTGCTTCCCATTGATGATGCCTACCGTTCCTTCCTAGGTGGAGAAGATAATAGACAAGCGGAAGACACGCAAGGGTCGTATAGAATATCTGGTCCGGTGGAGAGGATTTAACAGCGATGGGGACACTTGGGAGCCTGAGCACCACCTTACAACCTGCACGGAATACATCAAAGAGTTTGACGAGTGCCAGAGGCTCAGCTTTAACAAAGCCCAAGAAGTGGCGAATAAGCAGATTCCGCGGTCGCCACTTCAACCACAGTTGCAACGTACAAGCCTTCCAAACATCATCACAGAAAAGGAGAGTCTGGCTTACTCGCAAACGCGGAAATCGTCGTTTTCCTTCATTGGGAGAAGCCCAATGGACCTCTCCCAGACGGGAATCAAAGTTCTTGTACCAAAGTTGGAGTCCAGAGGCAGTAATTTGCTCACTAGTTTGCATGGCACCGTTAATGCCACCAGCGACTTCATATTCAAGGACGAATTGGGCAACGCAGCTCAGGCCCCGGGAGAAGAGCGGCTGCGTGGAGAGAAGATCATTCTGACTCCCAATGGAGGCAGTCCTACAGAGAGGGCCAAGATGGGCTCAAGGGCCATGAGGCCACAGGGGCGGATCACAGTTCAGCTTATGGCGAAACAGATTTGCCGCTTGGACAAAGCTTCTGCGCTGGTGGGGGACAGTAAAGGTTAGTTTGCAAGACGCTGGATTCATGTCACTTGGCTTCAAGTTCAATAGACATTGTTTTTTTTTAAATCACTAACTTCCATGTTATAGTAAATGACTAATACCAGTAGAAGATAATAATGGTGACCCCATATCAACAGTCATTCAGCAGGTCACGTATTGTGGTGTAAAGTTTAGGTACCTCCCCTTCCGTCCCCCCTCTGAAGAGGGGTGGTGTGAGAAAGCAATTCAGGGCAGCACCGTTATCTGATATCAACACAATATACTCACATTGACTCGCCTTTTTTTACTCTAAAAATATATCTATGCGTTGAGTATGTAGTCATCGTGGTGCAGTTGTATGGGCGTTGCTGTATGACACTTGTGCTTGTGACATCAGACGAGCACTTGGGCCAGGACAGCCAATCACAGGCATCCATATTGGAGCCACAAGTCAGCCTACCTCTGGTGTTTCCAGCTCCTGGCCAACCCAGCCCATCCCTCTCCAATGCCGTACCTCAGGGTAAATACATCAACGTTTTCTTCATATAACCCATCATAATGAGGACAAAACATGCTGGTCTAAAGTCGTTGTGATTGTGTGGTTGATAATATACCCACATTGCATTGTAGAACAGAATGATACAGACAGTTGAGCAATTATTGAGAACATGCAGCTCACAATTTGGAAGTTAATATGCCGGTTAGGGCTAAGCTCGGCCCTTCTTGCCTCTTGCGTAGTTTAAATGAGAACCACTTTGTGGAAAAGACAACTGTGGGTTGTCCTATAGATTAATTCACCCCATCTGGAGTGTGGAACATCCACCACTAGCTCAAGGCTCGGAAACAGGATATGGGCATTTCCCTGTACTGTTTGAGCAGAAAATATGTTTTGATAATATGAAGAGAAAATGTGCTAAATATTTAGATTATTTGCCTTGTGTAGTGTGTATGAATCAAGCAACATTCTCAAGTGTTTGAATGTTATTAAGGTTTAGCATAGATATGATTGTTTCATTTGTACTTGTTTGTACAATAAGGCTCATGTAATCGCATGGCTACAATAAACTAAGTAAGCCAGTAATAGTAACGTAATAAGTCATGCACCGTATAGTTTGGATTGCGATTCATAGTGAACATAATTGCATATTTACAAACAAACCTTACATATTTTCTGGACTTAAGTTCCATATAAATGAGACTATATAAAATAAAAAAGTAGGTACAGATGAAAATTCCAGTTTAATGTGTCCATCTGCAGAACTTTATGTTGCAAAGTCATTCATCACAGTAATAAATTTTAGGCGATATTTTATTTAGGCGTTACGTTGTCCGCACAGTGCAGTGCAGCAAAATCCGATGTGCTGTATTATTCTGACGTATATGCTTTCTCAACCATCAACCTGCAATGAGCAGCATGGTGAAGTGTGATAATAACACCCGCCACGACCCACGTAGCTTGGGGAGGCCCTCATTCAGCCACTGACTGACAAATGGCTGTAAATGTACACGTGAACATTCAACAAATAGAGCTCGCCATCGACGCAAGACAATGTTACTTAAGCCACTGGTGCACGCACCGGTGCGAGTGACCGGCACTTGCCGTCTCCTCAGAAGGGATCCCGCCGCCATACGGGAGCGGCGCCCACGTAGGCTCCACGGCCGTCGGCGGCGCCCCCACCGTGGGCAGCGGCGTCGGAGGAAGCGCCGGGAATGGAAAGCGGGCTGTGGGGGACGAGCGCCAGGGACTACAGCTCGACAAGCGGCAGCGCTGCAGCGTGCGGCAGACTGAGACGTCGTGCCGCTACCGCAACATCGTGGTGCGCAAGCTGGACGGGTACACGCACATCCAGCTCTCGACCAAGAATGCCGGCAACAGCCTCAGTGTGGAGGTGAGACTCGGCTGCCCCACTGCCTCAGAAAATGGCGATTTGTACCGAATGCAGTGGTGCATGCCTGTGGTCCAGATAAGGGTGGTTTGGTAAATTACTCAGCAGGTGTGGTACTGTGTTTTGCCTGCCAGGTAGTGCACCATTTATTCAGATTAACATGGTGAACATTTTCAGTCTCGTATTTTTTGTTACCTGTATCGTAGCTCATGTTCCTGGTTTGTTGTGGTCAGAATGGGACCTGTACGATGGAAAAGACAACGATGGAATTACTTGCATATACAAGTAATTGGCTAATTATGGATTGTCTCGTGTGGCAGTCCTGCAAGGGTAAGAACCCCACTGCTTAACTCGGGTCACCGTGAGGACGTTTGTCCGGAGGTGAGCCGTGCACTGTAGCTCTTGGTGGAACGTGTGCGTTGATTCGATTTGCTTCACTTAACGCTCCGTGTAGCGTTAAGGGAAGCAAGCTTGAGGGATCTGCGCCAAACCAATGCTGGGTGTGTCAGTCGTCTTGTGTCGTCCCCCTCCTCTCTCCGCCCTGTTCTTTCGATCTTCAGAGAGAACGGTTTCGTTCCGGCTCTGTTAGAAAGTATTGAGGGATGATGGTTAGTGTGCGGGGCGAGTCAGAGATAGTAACAGGCAGTCTTGCCTGCACACAAAAGCCTTCTCTGCATCACGTCCGTGACTCTGCGGGATAATGCTAACAAACCGTGTGAGTGATATCTACCACAGCGCTCGCTGAACCAGTTAAGTTTGATCAAATAATCCCCATGACGGATACTCTTGTGGAGTCCTTAATCCAACAGTGGATGACAAAAGGCTGTCAATTTAAAAAAATGACAAGGTACAAAAGACCTTTTTTCATTTTTTTACTTTGGGCATTTTGCTTAGATCTAAAAATAACCATGAACAAAAGCACTGGTTTGATAAGAAATAATTCATCCATATTTTGCGTACATTCCACAAAGTAAGTATAATTGAGAATGGGCGCCAGAGTGTTGCAATCGCAGACATGTCCCATCACGAACAAAGTGCGAAACTCTCCTCTACAGGTGATGAAGGAGATCCAGAAGGCGATGGGTAATGCCGCGTGCGACGAGAACCGCCTGCTGCTGCTGGGCGCCGTGGGAAACGTGTTCTGTAGTGGACTGGACTTTCTGCCTTTTGTCAATGGACTCGCTGACAACCCTGAGGGGGGGAGCTCTCGCATGGTGGACGCCATTAGGTCAGTGATCTCAGGGGGGCACCAGGGTGGCGAGATGTTAACTCCCTCACCTGGAATATAGGATCACGTGGGTTCGATCCCGACCCTGACGCCTGTTGTATATTTGGAGTTTGCGTGTCTCTCTCCCCACGGTCGCGTGGATTTTTCTCCGGGTCTTCCAATTTTTCCCTCCACATTTATAAACATGCGTTTAGAATATTTGGCTGCTATACATTTCTTCACGATCAACTACTTCGTTTGTGGCCAGGTCACTTATGAAAAGAGCTATATATCTCAGTAGGCCTTACCTGGTAAAATACAAATAGTTGATAGGTTTTTTTTTCGATTTAAAGCTTTCGTGACTGCAATGATTCATCTTCTTTGGTTCTTTCGGTAAAGTCACGTAGAATGAGAATAAAATAATAAATTGATAAAATAAAATAACACAATAATATTCTCACGACGTTTCGGCCACAACACAAGCGGCCTTCATCAGGTGAAGGGACGAGACTGTCTGGTAGGACAGCGCTGGAGTGAAAGAGCCACGTTCAGATCACGGCCTTTAAGCCTCAACTTTAGCACCACGGATAGCTACGGGCCCCGTTCAGACGGACGAGTTCGTCCATGGTCGGAACAGAGGAGGGGGAGAGAGACAGCTGCGAGGCCCTAGTATACTCCATGTTGTAAACCATACCATTAACCGTGGTGTGAGAGGTATTAAGAGGCAATGCTGGCGAAAGAGCTGCGGTCTGAAGGTAATCGTAAAAATACAATTAATTAAGAACAGAAATGATTTAAAACATCTTTCCAGTGGTTACTAAGCCAGAATCCATCTTCTCGGTTGAAATTGTCTCTGTGCTTGTATATGTGTGATATATGTATAGTTTTTTTTTTTTACCCTGCCCTACTCATGAGCTGATAATAATGAACATGCTCTATATTTACCCTTGCAATGCCCTTTAACCAGAGTCCTGCTTTGGTAAAGTTTGGTTAATTTCTTTAAGTCTTCGGCATGTGGGAGGAATCTCAAATAAATCCCACACATTTGAATTTATCATATTCTCTTAGTGTTAGGCATGTGGGAAGAGTTGATTACCTGAAGAAAAACCCACCAATATGAGGCGGTAACACTTTGCACTGCCATGTCCTGGACACCTCACAGCCTCAGGCCAACAACACCTTGCAAACCCTGGTGGTCACATCTAAGCAATAACCATGCTCAATCTTGCTTACCTTGAGAGGTCTGGCAAGTTTAGGTGCATATTTGGTGTTTTATTGTGAAACAGTTTTAGAGCGATGTCTGTTTTTTTTAAGTGTTATCCATGCAAGCAAATGTCAGTTTTGATTGTTACAAAAATGTAAGTACCTGTTTTGATTGTTGATTCTACTTCGTTTTGAGTTGCTAATCGATTCCGCAAGCGATTATTGAAAAAGTTATAATCGTATAACATCCCTAGCTGTAATAATAGGGTTTTTCCCCTTTTTTTTCTGGCAACAAAACTGAAACCTTTTTACAAGGATTCATGTCTGCATTAACCACAATACCTGCAGTCAAATGTACCATAAAGCTGTTACATAGGTGATGTTATGTCATAAAAATGTTTGCACCGTGTCCAGACAGGGCCATCTCACACGCGCCATCTCCCTCCCGCACGTGGGTAGGGAGTTTGTGAATGTGTTCATTCATTTCCAGAAGCCGATCGTGGCGGCAATCGGCGGCCCCGCGGTCGGGCTAGGCGCTGCCTTGCTGGCGCTGTGTGATCTGGTTTGGGCCAGCGACAAGGCCTGGTTCCAGACGCCATACACGGCGACCGGACAGACCCCCGATGGCTGCTCGTCCTTCACTTTCCCTCGAGCCATGGGCACGCTAGCCGTAAGTACCGCCACTTACACCAGGGAAAACTATATGTGAGGACCAAATGGGGGTCCTGCTTGATTGGGAAGTTTGGCCAGTTGGCCGGGCGGTGATGGTGCACGCCTGTAATCCAGCATTTTGGAGGCGAGGGTTGTGTGGATCACTGCACAAATGTTGTGAAACTCCCTACACGGGGGAACGAGAGGAGGTGCCTTACCCTGGCTGGCCAGAAGATAGTACAGGACATGTGGACTCCACCTGTTCCATTTGTATGGGATTGTCTTTTGCCCCCTCGTAAGCATATAAACTCTCATTAATTTGACCAATAACACCTTAATATATAGGGGACTGCAGAGCTTGGGGAGGACATTTGGCGCTGACTCAGCGCCTGGATGCCTTTTCCCCGTGCCACTGAATTGCCCTCTTCGAAATTGAGCAAATACTGTGCTCGTTACAAATTGCAATGACTATTAGTTTTGTTTTCTTTGGGTCTTTCGGTAAAGCCACGTAGATATAAAAATAATAAAAATAAAACATATCACGACGTTTCGATCGCATCACAAGCAATCGTCATCAGGTGAAAAAATAAAGCAGGAGAACTGCTGAGGCAGGAAAAAATATAGCAGGAGAGCTGCTGAAGCAAGCAGTTATATAGGTTTGAGATGGATGCAACCCAAGGGTAAGTGGGCGGGGCTAGAGATGGAATTTGCATGTAAATGTAAGATCGGAGAGCTGATATACCCCTCGACTACGTAGCTGGGGAGGCAGCCATTGTATTGCGAGAGATTAGCATGTCAATCTGTTAATGTGAGATTAGCATGTCAATGTAAGAAAACCCGGGTGCCACCGAAGCTGTGGGGGTGTCCATTGTATTGTGATAGATTAGCATGTCATTGTAAGAAGGCCACCGCAGCGGTGGCTGTGTTAATGAGAAGATTAGCATGTCAATGTAAGAAAACCGGGCACAACGTTGTTGACTGTTTGACATGTGGGAGGAAACCCGGATGAATCCCATGCAGTTGAATGCATCGCATTACTCCATTAATGAGTGTTATGATTGTGGTAACAGTGTTGATTACCTTGGAGAAAACCTATGCATGTGAGGGGGTATCATTTTGCATTGTAATTTCCTGGAACTTTGGCAGGGTGCCAAATAACACACATCTCCTTTGTGTCATCCGATTTTAACACGAAATATTACACGAAATATAACGTGCGTGTTACCAGAGCATAAGGAGGCCCTTGCTGTAACAGAAGTGCCTGAGCATGCTAACATCAGAAAAGCAATGTTGTTGCAAGTCCAAAAATAATCCCCCTCTGGTACTCGAGCATTGCAGCTAAGATGTTTGCAATGATGGATACATTTCTTTTTGGGGGTGGTTTCGAATTGACTGGTAGGCCTTTGTTTGGCTGTGATCTGTACGAAGTGAAGTCACGGGCCATAGGTTACCCACCCCTGACTTGCACGCAAAGCCTCTTGCAAAACCTGACGTGAATCAGGGTTCTTGGGGTCATAGGCAGCATTCCTCCTCCTCCAAACACGGCGAGTTGAGTTGATGCCAAAGAGCTCCATTTTGGTCTCATCTGACCACAACACTTTCACCCAGTTGTCCTCTGAATCATTCAGATGGTCATTGGCAAACTTCAGACGGGTATGTATATGTGCTTTCTTGAGCAGGGGGACCTTGCGGGTGCTGCAGGATTTCAGTCCTTCACGGCGTAGTGTGTTACCAATTGTTTTCTTGGTGACTATGGTCCCAGCTGCCTTGAGATCATTGACAAGATCCTCCCGTGTAGTTCTGGGCTGATTCCTCACCGTTCTCATGATCATTGCAACTCCATGAGGTGAGATCTTGCATTGAGCCCCAGGCCGAGGGAGATTGACAGTTCTTTTGTGTTTCTTCCATTTGTGAATAATCGCACCAACTGTTGTCACCTTCTCACCAAGCTGCTTGGCAATGGTCTTGTAGCCCATTCTAGCCTTGTGTAGGTCTACAATCGTGTCCCTGACATCCTTGGAGAACTCTTTGGTCTTGGCCATGGTGGAGAGTTTGGAATCTGATTGATTGATTGCTTCTGTGGACAGGTGTCTTTTATACAGGTAACAAGCTGAGATTAGTAGCACTCCCTTTAAGAGTGCGCTCCTAATCCCAGCTCGTTACCTATATAAAAGACACCTGGGAGCCAGAAATCTTTCTGATTGAGAGGGGGTCAAATACTTATTTCCCTCATTAAAATGCAAATCAATTTATAAAATTTTTGACATGCGTTTTTTTTATTTTTGTGTTATTCTGTCTCTCACTGTTCAAATAAACCTACCATTAAAATTATAGACCGATAATTTCTTTGTCAGTGGGAAAACGTACAAAATCAGCAGGGGATCAAATATGTTTTTTCCCTCACTGTAACACCATATCAAAGCACTGAGCCAACAATTGCAGATTCGACTCTGGATTTCATCCACCCAGTATTAACCTGGGTGCTGCAGTTGCAATTGAATTTGTGTTCTCCGTCTCAAAATACTGCACAAAAATGTCATCACATGATATGTGCCTTTCGTCTCTCAATCTGCCATGTTGTAATTCTGAAAATTAAAAAATGTCACTTTCATTGATCTGTGATGATCACTCTTTCCAGGCTATGTAAATAGTGTGTTCTGTCTGTGAAAAAAACTATTGAAATTACTTAAGTAGTTCTATGATATCGTTTGGGGCCATTTTGTGATGCAGGGAAGCACATCGCTCTTTACGACAGAGTTCCAAATGGAAATGTCTTTGTCGCATGTCATGAGGCCAATGGTTTGGGAGGAAAAACCCCGAAAAAACAAATACAACTTACATGAAACCAATACATAACTTTATTCAGTTGATTTAATAAACACTGACCATCCATAACAATGTGACGTCTAATCTTTTAAAGTGGTTATCTGATAATAAATCCGTTTTGGGTGAATGCATTTTATGTAAAGTTGCATAACCATTCATATAAAAATTTGGCTCTCCTAGATGCACCTATCGAGGTTGTGTGTTCTTGCATGTGGACATGAATTTGAATGTTCTTTATAGCAAAACAAATACAAAAAAATACATGCTTCCGCAGTGAATAAGATTTGTTTAAAATGTTGCCTCCAGAATGATGCTTAAAACATGTGTATGTATTATGTTGAACTTCTTTCACATAGTATGTAGCCAACCGTGCTAATCTGTGACAGTCTAGATGTGTCTGCAAGATCGGACTTATTTTGTTTTTCAAGTAACTTGTGATTAACAAACTGTAGAGTTTAATTATATCTTTAGAACACGGTTAGTTTTTTTTGTGCCGCCCTCTGCATGCTAACTCTTCTCGACACCTTGTGAACACACTCCCACAGGCCAATGAGGTGCTCTTCTGCGGTAGAAAGCTGACGGCGTTACAAGCGTGCGAGATGGGTCTGGTGTCGCAGGTGTTGTGGTCCAGCACCTTTTCCCAGGAAGTTGTGGTGCGGGTCAAGGAGCTCGCCTCTTGCCAGTTGACAGTGAGTGCGGCGTAGTGCTTGCACCTCATTATCCTTGGAGATCAAAGCAGATCGTCACGACCAGTGCCTTGAGTGTCACCACGCCTCGTTGTAAATTATTTCCACCAGATGTATGTGTATGTATGTATAACTTCTTTTGCATCGTACGTAGCCAACCGTGCTAGTCGGAAGTGCGTGGGAAGGACAACCAACTAAACACAAAAAGCAGTTCTAAAGAAATTCGTTTTCAGTTTCCTCGAAAATGGAAACATTGCATCTAAAAAAAAACACATACTCCGATGATATATGCATGTATGTTTTTTGTTTGCATTCTGATCACAAGTATTGTGGTTAATGCAAACTTGATTCCTTGTAAAAGGTTTCAGTTTGGTGTTCTAACATCTTAACACCTGTTTGCCAGAAAAAGGGGAAAACCTATTCTCGTATAGAAGTTGTCTAGATGGGTCAAAAACATATTCCGCCTTGAGAAAATTATCCTCCTACTCGAAACCAAAACAAATGTTTTAACACCTTGATTTTTTTAGAATGAATGCACGTTTAGGAACTCGGAGAAATGAGAGAATGGGAAATAACGTTTATTTTGTACGACTGCAGTAAAATCTCCTACTTGTTGTTGGAACTCGGACGGAAAGGGGCGTGCCTGTTTTTTTTCGATCGGAAGCCACGTGCCCACCTGGTGATGGGGGTGGGGGGGCCTTGTGCCGAACGTGCGCGTCTCTCGTCCACTAGGTGTTAGAGGAGACGAAGAAGCTGCTCCGGTGCGGACTGACGGCCGAACTAGAGGCGGCCAACCAGCGCGAGTGTGCGGCGCTGCAGAGGATCTGGAGCTCGGTGGAGGGGATGGACTCTCTTCTCAAGTACCTACAGAAGCGCAAGATGGAAGATTTGTGACCGGCGCAGTTTCTGTGTTTTTGCTGTTTTGGCTGCCCGTCGCCACTCAAAGTGAAGGAGTGCAGCAGGAGGTCAGCTGCACAAGCGGGGAACCCCCCCCCTCCATATCCATCCCTGCACTGTGTGACTTCTCAACTTTCGACAGTCGTACTCTCGGTTTGTTTTCGTTACTGAATTCTTTACAAACTAAAGCACGCGAATGAAAAAAAATGTGTAAAGAAAAGGCAGCAATTTCTCATAGTGTGCGTTCGACTGATGGAGATGCGAAACTACCACGCACACCACCCCCCCACCTGGAAGCACCCACTGTGGGGTTAGCACACGGGCGCTCAACTGCACACAGGCATTCAACTGGACACAAGTGTATGTTGAAATGTGTTGAAAAGCTTTTGATGCATCTGACATTGCTGCCTCTGAAAACAAGTTCGTAGGTTGTTCGTGGATCGTCTTGGCCTTCCATTTGGGTTTTGCACCACACGGCGCCGTTGTAAGAAGTCAAAACGACGACAGCCATGCTGCCGCCTTGTTCGTTGAAGTGCCTCTACATGTTTGAGGAAGCAGTTTTTGTTTATTTAATGCTCGGATTTTTCGTTGCATGTTTGAACCATGTAAATATGTAGTAGTTTTACATTTAATACGTTTCAACCTACTGTATTATTCGTACATTATTTTATTCGGCCCTCGTGTTACCGTTTTGTGGTCCCAAGTTGTTATGACCTCCAAACTAAGCATAATATTCTCCTGCAGATCTTTCACGGGCCTCTTTATGTCTAAGTGTGGCCTCACACCAGTGCAGCGTCATTGACCTCCTGACTTGTAGGGACGCCGTTCTGCATGCCATGCAGTGTTAACAGTCAGAATGTGAGACAACCATTATGACCCAATGTCGAATAACCATGGGAGTCCAGGTAAGTCTATTATTTAATGAGGTACAACGTATTTCTTGCCCCACCTGTAATAAATGCTAACGTTCGGACCAACCAAACTAGCTCGGTAAACCAGAGCCACAGCCACCAGAACACCAATCTACACCCTCATCCACATATTTGGCGTGAGAGGACTAATTTTATGAAAATGTAGATTTTTGTTTCATTTTGTATTTTATTCTGTTGCATTTGTTAATGTATGGTTGTATGTGAAATTATACTGCATTGTAGTCAGTATTGTCTAATTTGTTTTGTGTATTGTATAAAGCGCATCATCAACAACACCAAGAGCAGGCCTAGAGTTCTCTCATCCACCAAAAACGACACGCTCAGCGTACCGCACGTGGTTGAGTGACCATAGACTGCAAGACAGTTTACGTGCTGTCTTGCCAATGACAACCACCTACCCGTCAGCCATGATCTCGGTGTACCTAGCTGCTGACTCAAATCCGAATCCCCCTACTCGGTCGTGCTGTCACCGTCCTAGAGTTTCACCCAGATTCGGAAGAACGTTGGCGAACGGAGTGGAGCAACGCAGTCGTCCAGGGTCAACTCATTCGAGAGTCAAACATCGCACTTGCTGGCTCTGACATACCTCAAACACTGCTGCACCATCGACCTCATCAGAACATCTCCAGGCCGATGCACACATCTCCATCAATGCAAAATTAAAGACAAGCCAGAGTAATGCGATTGTGGCCATGCAACCCAATCTATGGGCCATTAAGTAAACCACTGTAGACCGCATTCTTTCAAAGGAGGAGCATGCGTGACTTTAAAAGTGGACCGTTCTGGCCGAGGGTGGTGGATGCTTTGCTCATCGTCGTCGTGTCCCGGGTGAGCCGCCTAGAGACGTGGCAGCTCTACTCCAGTAACCGTAGACCGTTTACCACTGCCCCGAGTATCAGGTGTCTGTGACCTCGGTCACGGGGCTGTGGTGACGAGGGCGTGAGCGACAGAGGCACGAAGAGTGAGTGGCAGCCCTCGGGAGTGTGGAAGGGGCTGGAGGGAACGTCGAAAGAAATTCGTGGAGGCGCACGCCCGAATGTTCGGATGCTGGTTGCTGGGCCAGCGTAGACAGAGGAAGTCTCAAATTATGTTACTGAAAATGTAATTTATATCATGGTGTTCACTGGCACATTGCAAACGTGAGGTACAGTCATGGAGGTTTTGTAAAGCTAACCTTGGTTGTTGATGCACGAAGCAAATGATGCTTCCATGCTGTTTGGGTCTTTCGGTAAAGTCAAGCAGATAGAATTTTTTTTTTAAATCACGACGTTTCAATCGCAACACACGCAATCGTGAACTGCTGAGGCAGGAGAAATGTAGCGAGAGAGCTACTGCAGCAAGAGGTTATTATATAGGTTTGAGATGGGTACAACCCAAGGGTAAGTGGGCGGGGTTAGAGATGGAATTTACAAGTAATATACCTCGGCCATTGTATTGCCTGGTTAATAAGGCTCTTCCAATGGTTGCTGTGTTTATATATCTGGATTTGTTCATGAACAAATCTAGATATATCTATAAACAGACAGTTTCAACCGAGAAGATGGGTACAAACTGAGCAATCATTGGAAGGACGTTATTAACCAGGCAAAGTCATAACTGGCTGTGATGCTTCCATCCTACCTGCCGATGTTAGTTATTTTCGATTCTGAGTTGCATTACCTTGTTAAATGTCTCATTAACACAGCCGCTGCTGCGGGAGCCATCTCACATTGATATGCTCATCTCTAGCAATACAATGGCTTCTTCAGCACCGTAGTCGTGGGTAAAATTAACACATTGACATGCGAATCTTGAGCAATACAATGGCCGAGGTACAGTATATTACAGGTAGTCCTCTACTTACGATGGAGATGCGTTACGACGACCCCATCGTAACTCAAAAATATTGTAAGTCGAAGATGACCTAGCCTACCCAGGAGTCTTAAAGAATGGTGATAATTTAGCAAAACAAAGCAATTTACAGTACCGTACTGTATGTATTTATTAATTACAATAGTGTATTGCACAGTAAAATGTAAAGTAAAAATCAAGGTAAATTCTTAGCCTACCTATATGAACTGCAATTTCATGGAAAGTTTTTTCAGGAAACAATCCTATTTGCTATAAAAACTTAACATGCATTGAACGTATGTATTGTGGTAACACAAATGAAATCGCTAAAGCTACGTATCGTACATGCATTGAACGTATCGTAACATATCAGAATCAGAAAGGGTTTTATTCGCCATGTAAGTTCACACCGACACGGAATTTACTTTGGCAGGATGGTGCATACATTCAACATATAGGAATCTAAAATCTTAAATAAGTTTGAAACAAGTCTTACTATAATAAGGGTTAAAAGTCTAACACCAAGGGGCTGAAGTATATAAAATTAAATATCGAATATAAAATAGCTTTAAGATATAATTTTAAAATAAAAAAATACAAATAGGGTAACATAGTTAATATCGGCAAGGTGTCGTTATGTAGATCAAATGTTAAAAACAGTGTTAGCCCTTGGCCTTGTTTAACAGGCCAGCAGCAGATGGGAAGAAACTGTTTTTATGGCGTGAGGTTTTGGTCCTGATGGACCGAAGCCTTCTGCCGGAGGGGAGTAGCTGAAACAGAGAGTGTCCAGGGTGGGAGAAATCGGCCATATTGTACTTTACTCACCAAGATTCGTACCTCATACGCTGCTGCATTTGCCTGCCGCGCGAAATTTAAAATATTTTTCAATTGTATCGCCATCGTAAGATCGAAAAATCGTAAGTCTGACCATCGTAACTCGGGGACTATCTGAACTTGTAAATTCCATCTCTAGCCCCGCCCACTTACCCTTGGATTGTACCCATCTCAAACCTATATAATAACCTCTTGCTGCAGTAGCTCTCGCTACATTTCTTCCTACCTCAGCAGTTCGCCTGCTGTATTTTTTCACCTGAAAACGATTGCTTGTGTTGTGATCGAAACGTCGTGATTTTTTAAAATTATTTTTCTATCCACGTGACTTTACCGAAAGACCCAAAGAGTATGAATTCATGCAGTCACGAAAGCTTTAAGTCAAGATGCTTCCATGGATATCCATTCTAAAATACAGGTTTTGCCTATATGACCCAATCACCCTGAATGCGCGCTATCTCGCTCGGTCTTATAAGCGAAGCAAGCCTGAGCCTGGATCGTGTTGGGATGAGCTATCACTTTGTATGCAAGCCATGGTTGTCATGGACGGCTGTTGCGAGGCTGTGCTACGTAGTGGACAGCAGAGGGCAGTGCCGCAAAATATATTGTTGCCATTTAACAATACATGAACGGGCACTGTCCAGCGTGCTGAATGGAGCGTGGTCCGACAGAGTGGTCAAACAATCGCCACCACGCCCTGCGCGGCGTGGGGAGGCCCTCGTCCAGCAGTACCGTCATTGCGTTTAAAATTGTTCCATTTGGACGTTGTACATTTCGCGATGTGGCACGGCATTCGCATTCGGAGTGAGCGGTGGAAACCCCTCATGCGCAGCGCTGCCGTGTTCTCCAGCATCCACCTCCCCACCGCTCTTTCCGAGCTCATCCCTTCAACCTTCGCGGGTCAATAGCTCCCGTCCCCTCCCCACGTCTCCCCGCCCCCCTTCTGCGTCTCCCCGTGACGCGCGTTTCACAGTCACGTGACGCGTAATGTGATCTGCTTCCCACGCGCCGCGCGTCACGGATGAAGTGGGTGCGAGAGCGCGGGGTGGGTGGGTGACTGGGGGATCGCTCTTCATCGATTGGAGTGCGTGTCACATGGCTTACTGTAATAGCTCTTCGTTATTATTTTTTTTGTATCTTCCAGTGACGGAGGGAGGGGTCCGTGAGGTTTTAAGGGGGATGAGCCGCTGCAATGAGCAGGCGCATTGAGTTTTTTTTTACTGTCGCTCAAATGAATACTATTGAGTATTCACAGCACTTGGTCTACCTACTGCTGGTTGAATACCTCATCCTCGCGGCCGTTTCGTTCGTAGAGGTTGTTTGGCCCTCCCGCACCACGCTGGTCAGTGCGGGTTGAAACGCCTTTTGCCAAATCAGCCTCGCTCGAAATGATGCTCGAGCTTTGTCCGATAGCTAAGCAGGCATGGAACCTGGTTAGTGTTTGGATGGGAGACATGTTTTGGTAGTGATGCTGCTGCTGCGTTGGCAAGTGGTGCACAATCACCAATAACAAAGACACAACTCAACACGTTCGTCAGTAACACGGTGGCCTTAAAAGGAAACGAATTTAACAGGCGACGATGTGCTGTAGATGAGGAGGTTTAAGTGGTGGATAGCAGGAAACCCCTCATTCTGCTTTACGATCGTCGCACGTCCGTGATGCGTCCCACCTTCACCAACCCGCACTGACCAGCGCCCAGAAGCCAGTTGGGACAAGGGAGGGCATTTATTCCCTTGCCCCAGCGCCCATACAAACCACGCAACGCCACGCCACTGAAATAACCCGTGAATGTTGCGCTATTGATTTGCTGCCGTCCATGGCGCGTGTTTTACTTATTACGAGTTTCTTTGTTCACATTTCCGACCCACCGTACATTCCAACAATAAACATAGCTGCCGTCGCTACAGGTCGTGCGCGTCCTCATCATGCACCGGTTATTTGTGGGACTAGAGGTTTGGTTGATCGTTTTTCTCAAAATAAACACGCGAGGGGTGTGGAAAGAGAAGGTGGGGGAGGGATGTGCACGCGATGTGTGTAAGCAGGTGAGAGACGACGTCTTTGCATCTCTCCACGTCCGCGGAGTCGAGATTCCCTTTGCGTCTCTCCACTACCACATCTGCAGAGTCGAGATTCCCTTTTGCATCTCGACGCAGTCCACCTTTGGATGTCCGGCAGCGGATTATCGCAAGCCGCATTCGTTTTGGGCCACACGCAATAATTGGCTTCATTTGATGTCAGCGGTGTTTTTAGGTGTGCCGGTGTTGCGTACGCGCGTGTCTCCTGCACCGCACTACGTGGGGAGTGGTGGCGGAGTTGTAGGCGCACTGCGCTCCCAGCCAAGCTAGCTGGTGACCAGCGATCAGTGGGCGAGCGATATCAGAAGCGGTGTTTTGGCCTTCAAAATTATCGACTGAGTCTTACGTGCACAAATGTCCGATTGGTCACCCAGGCTCACCGAGTCTCATCACTTTTTCATGAGGGGCCTGGTGATGATTACTTTGTATTTTCCAACTGAGTAATTATTGGCGGTTACATTTTTTTAATGTTGCCAAATGTGTACCCTGACGCGGCACACTGGCCTACTGGCAGAGAGGCGTCACGCTATTTGTGCCGACCACCTTTGCATCATGACAGCGCGTCTCTTTTTTAATGGTTCATTAATCGGAACGGCCGCTGGATTGGAACCGCGAACCTCTGCGTCAATCGTTGAACGCGCTACCGCGAAAGCCCATGCCGCCACCACCCCTAAATATCAGAAATCGGGAAGACAAAGACGGCCGGCGTGGTGCTACCCGCAACAACCTTCCCCGTGCAATGTACTTAGCCATCATGAGAGAGGTGCTCGCTCACAGCGCTTGTGCCAACAACCTCCGCAGGCTGTGTGGGGGTCACGACCTTTTACTGTACCAGCAGTCTCCGTGCAATTGGGGTTGTGCTGAATTCGCGTTACCCCTTCGCGGCGGCGGCGTCTCCGTCGCCCCCCCCGCTCGCCACCGCCTTTCTGCATCGTCCAATAATTCACGCCAAGCAAGGTGAGCGGGCACTCACCTCGTGACGTCCTCCACTCGCATCGCTCACCCAGCCAGCCCCCCTCACCCGGGTTCCCAAGGATCGTCCGCATGGATGGACGCTGCGGTGAACAAACAAAAAACGATTCCGATCACCAATCGCAAGTCGCTGGGGTGACTGCCGTGGCATGCGAACGGCAGGCTGTGTTCGAACAGCGTCTGTGGAACAAAGAGCGGATAGGGGGGTTTGGGGTTATGGGACAAGGTTAGGGGCTATCGATCGGATGAGTTGCAGATATTTTCAGAGCTAGCGCAGTGTCTGCCAAGGGGCCGCAATCCCCGCTGGTATTACGGGCTGTTGTATTACGACTGCAATCCACCGCTGGATGGGTACGCGCCATACTTCATCCACGCTCGGCTGTGCGGGTAATTGGTGGAGGCGGAGAGAGCATATATGCGGGAGCATAGAAGTGCAGTACAGCTTTGAGTTGTGCCCTTGTGCTCTCTGACGATGCCCGCCGCGCAGCCTCGCTCGCGGCAGCCTCCAGCACCCTCGCACTGCACGGCTGGTCACCCATCCACGCAGCACCCAGGCGAGTGATCCTGACGATGACGATTGTTCGGTGTTGTCGAGATCAAAGAAGCAGAGGACTCGAGACCCCTCCCACCCACCCCGCATCAGAGAGCGGCGTGAAGACGGAAAGCGACGCGCAGAGACCCGCGTATACCAGCAGTGGTGTACACACAGCCGTGTGTGTGTCACAGCAGTGGTGTACACGCAGTGGTGTACACACAGACCCATGTGTGTGTCACAGCAATGGTGTACACACAGACCCGTGTGTCACAGCAATGGTGTACACAGACCCGTGTGTGTGTCACAGCAATGGTGTACACACAGACCCGTGTGTGTGTCACAGCAGTGGTGTACACACAGCCGTGTGTGTGTCACAGCAATGGTGTACACACACCCGTGTGTCACAGCAGTGGTGTACAGACAGCCGTGTGTGTCACAACAGTGGTGTACACACAGCCGTGTGTGTCACAGCAGTGGTGTACACACAGACCCGTGTGTGTCACAGCAGTGGTGTACACACAGACCCGTGTGTGTCACAGCAGTGGTGTACACTCAGACCCGTGTGTGTCACAGCAGTGGTGTACACACAGACCCGTGTGTCACAGCAGTGGTGTACAGACAGCCGTGTGTGTGTCACAGCAATGGTGTACACACAGACCCGTGTGTGTCACAGCAGTGGTGTACACACAGACCCGTGTGTGTCACAGCAGTGGTGTACACACAGCCGTGTGTGTCACAGCAGTGGTGTACACACAGACCCGTGTGTGTCACAGCAGTGGTGTACACACAGCCGTGTGTGTGTCACAGCAGTGGTGTTCACACTCGAGGTGTGTGCGCACTGCCGCTGTATGCGGTGGTGGTGCTGTGGCTGAGCGGTGTGCGTGCACTGTGGAGCGGTGGCGCAGTGGTTAGCCCACTGCGCTACGAACCCGGCGACCCCAATTCGATTGCTGCTCACGGCCAACACCAGTGACGATCATTTGAACCGGTCATGGGCCTCCTTTAGATCGACTCGGCCTCAAATGAGTACCTGGTTCGGTGTGTTAACAACGCCACTGGGGAGACAAAGGCGGTCGGGCGTGGTGCTGGCCACCCACCCCCTCGTGTGCCGTGCCGGCATTCGTAGGTGCTCGCTAACAGCACTTTTCTTCAACGGTCTGTTTAGGCTACACGGGGGATCTTTGTCTTTGTGTTGCACTGTGCTGTGGACGCGGCCAGGGTGCGCGCAGCGCGTCCTCAAAAACCCCGCGTCACGTGACGACGCCGGGGATAAAGGCGCACTCTCACATTTTGCCGCATCCAGCACGAACCGCTTCGCACTCCCCTTGCACGCTCTCCCCTCCTCCTCGCGCTCTCCCCATCTCTCCCTTCCACACTGTCCTTCTCTCCCCGCTATCTCCCTACGTCTCTCATTATTCTCCCCGACCCACCCCCCTCCGCATCCATTCGGCATCTCTCCTCCGCGCTCTCCGCTTCTCTCTCCTCCACGCTCTCCCCCACCTGCTCTCCCCACCTCATTCTTTACGCTTCCTACGTCACTGTCCGGCGCTCTCGCCATTCATCCCTCTCTCTCTCTTTCTCCCATCTATACCACACTCCTCTTCATCCTCATCCTCCTCCGTCACTGCCTCGGTTGTTCATCGCCGCTCTCCTTGTCTCTCTCCTTCTCCATTTCCCTTCTCGCTCTCCCCGATGAGTCTCGGGGAGGTCACGGACCTGGGCCCCGTGCCCGACGGGGTCTCCGCGGGGCACGGCGGCGCGCATCCGGGCCGCGCCATGGCGGGACTCGGCTGCTTTCGGACTCTGCTGAGCGCCATCCTCGCATTCTTCCGCTCGATGCTCGCCGGCTACAAGAGGATGGACGAGGCGGCGTTGGCGGCGTCGGCCACGACGACGACGGCCGCGGGACCCGCGCCCATCCTCTCGTCAAGACACTTCCACCACCAGCAGCAGCACTACCAGCAGCAGCACTACCACTACCAGCAGCAGCACTACCACTACCAGCAGCACCGCTTCCACGTGCAGCAGCAGCAGCAGCAGGTCGCGTGCAAGGTGCTGGCAGACTCGCCCATCAAACTGGGCCTCCTCCCGCACAACCTGGGTCTCGTAGCGGGGCTGCTGGACAAGGTCCGCCTACAGGTGCCAGGGGTGATGGTGGCCGCTCGTGCCGAGGCGGTAGCGCCGCCGCCGCCCGACCTCCCCGTGTCCCCCGCGTCTCCGCTTCTCGCCGCAGCGCCCTCTCCTCCGGAGTCGCCTCCTCTGACCCCGATCCAGGAGCCGCGCTCCTCTCTCCCCTCCTCGTCCCGCTCCCCGCCCGACTACGTGCTGGTGCCCTGCACCCCGGCGGCCCCCTTCGCGGGGTCCGCCACGCGCGCCGCGGGGGCTCCGGCGCACGGTTTCGCATCGGCCCCCGCCCGGACCGGTAACCCCGCGCGGGACTGCGTTCTCGACATCCCATCTGTGCGGCCCGGCATTGGAGAGTCGCCGCCATCTGCCGCTTCTACCCCTTCCACACTTTCCCCGCCATCTCCACCACCTCCACCACCTCCCCCGCTTCGTCTTCCTCCTCCTCCCGCCGTCCCCGTGCGCCCGCGCCGCGCTCGCGTCTCGCCGCTGCCTCACGGCGTCTCCACCTCCACGGGGGTCGCGGCAGCGGGGCCTGGCCCCGCGTGCGGGGTCACCGCGGGAGGCGGAGCGGGGGAGCCTCCCGTGGCCCCGGGGGCCGCGGCGAGCGCGGAGGCCCAGAGCGAGGGGCTGCCCCCAGGGTGCCCAGAGGTGACGCCACATCATCAGCAGCATAATCACAATCAGAATAATCACCAACAGCAGTGGTATCGACATTGTGAGCAACAGCAGCCGGTGCTTGTCAGTGACCTTCAACTGCAGCAGCAGGATTATCAGCAGCAGCAGCAGGTGCTTCACAATGATATTCAACTGCAGCAGGATCACGATTATAATTATGATTATCATCAGCAGCAGCAGCGACAGCTCCAGGTGCTTCACAACGACCTTCAACTTCAGCAGCAGGATCATCATCAGGAGCAGGAACAGCGGGATCAGAATAATCACCAACTGTATCAACAGCATGAGCAAGAACATCGGGTGCATCATCATCAGCAGCAGCAGGAGCTTCAGAATAATTTCAAACTGCAGTGTCACGAGGAGGAACGCTTTCATGATAATCATCAGCAACAAAATTCTCAGCAGTACCAGCAGCAACATCCTAAGCAGGAGTCACATCCACAGCTTCATCAGCCGCTGCAGAATAACTATTGGCAGCTGCAGCAGACTAACCAACAGTACCAGCAGGGACATCATAACCAGGATCAGCAGCAGCAGCAACAGTTGAATAATTATCAGCATCCCAATAACCAGTGGCTACAGCAGCAGCGTGAGCAGCAGCAACAGCAGCAGCAGCAACAGCAGGAGGCGGAGCGGCATCAAGATCCACTTCAACAACAGCACGAAAATCAACAGCAGCAGCACCATCAGCACCAGCAGCAGGAACAGCAGGAGGAGGAGCAGCAGCAGCATCAGCAGCAGGAGGAGGAGCAGCACCATCAGCAGCAGGAAGACGAGCAGCAGCAGCAGGAACAGCAGGAACAGCAGGAGGGGGAGCACCATCAGCAGCAGGAAGACGAGCAGCAGCAGCAGCAGGAACAGCAGGAGGGGGAGCACCATCAGCAGCAGGAAGACGAGCAGCAGCAGCAGCAGGAACAGCAGGAGGGGGAGCACCATCAGCAGCAGCAGGAACAGCAGGAGCAGCATCAGCAGCACCATCAGCAGCAGCATGAGCAGCAGCAGAAGGAGGAGGAGCAGCGGCACCATCAGCACCATCAGCAGCAGGACCATCAGCACCATCAGCACCATCAGCACCATCAGCAGCAGCAGCAGGAGCAGCAGGGGTGCCTTGGGGAGCGCCTCCGAAGCTGCCCCCCCACCGGCGCGCCCCCCACTGCGGCAGGAGTCGCGCGCGGCAGCCGTCGAGTCCACTTCGCGGACGTGCGGGGCCTGGAGTTGGTGAGCGTGCGCCTCTTCCACGACCACGAAGACGACGTCGACGACGACGACTTCGATTACGGAGGAGGCGGCGGCGGTGGAGGCTGCGGCGGCGGCGGCGGCTCGTGCGGGCCGGGCGATCGCAGCGTCCGCGCGCGCCTCTTCGCCCAACTCTGCCTCGCCGCCTTCCCCAGATTCGACGCGGACGACGATGACGACGATCTTAACGATGATGACGATTACGAGTATTACGATGAAGATGATGACGACGGTGAAGATGCCGCCGCCGCCGCTACTGTTGCTGCTCAGCTAGCGGAAGACGACGAAGAGACGAGGAGGAGGAGGAGATGCGACGGTGGCGGCACGGATGACGACGAGCGGGGAAGCGGCAACTCGCTGCTGGTGACCGGCGGCGGTGGTGGCGGTGGCGCTGGGTCGGCCCGGGTCGCGCCCCCACCACCTCCACCACCCCCACCGCCTCCACCACCACCACCGCCGCCGCCACTCTTAACTCCGGGCGCGCGTCCGGATTTCCTTGAGCGCGTGCGTGCCCAGAGCGTGTGCCTGGAGCGCGTGCGGGCCACGTGCGGCGGCGGCGCCCGCGGCTGCGTGCGGGTGCTCAACTTGTCCTTCGAGAAGCGCGTGCTCGTGCGCCACTCCTTCGACGACTGGGCCACGTGCGCGGACGCCGACGCGCGCTACGCTCCGTCCGCGGCCAACCCGAGTCAGGGTCAGGTTCAGCAGAGCGCGGGTCGGGGTCCCGGGAGGGCTCCGCCGCCGGACGGGGGCTACACGGACCGCTTCACCTTCCGCCTGGAGCCGCCGCGCGGCTCCCGCCTGGAGCCCGGCGCCGCCCTGGAGCTGGCGGTCTGCTACCGAGTGAACGGCGCCGAGTTTTGGGACAACAACGGCGGAAGGAACTACCGCGTGCGCTGCCAGCGAGCCAAGGTGTCCCCGACTCGCGAGACGGATAACGGCTGGGTCCGCTTCGTGTAGCCGCCACCACCGACTCCCCCCCCCCCCCCACCCAGGGTCCTCCCCCGAGTGGGTCCGCCCCGGTCAGAATGGACGCACGCATTGGACTCCCCCGGCTCTCGAGAGAAGCGAGGGCCTCTCTGGGCGACCTCGCGCCACGTCTTCTCGCAGTCTTTGTCGTCGTCTGCTGCTGCTGCTGCTTCTTCCTGCGCGTGGCTTCTGTAAGCCGAGCCACGCGAGAGTCGTCCGTGCCCAGGCGTCACAGCCCAAGCACAGCAGGCGTGGGAGGTCCAATGGGAGTCTCAGAGAAGCTGCTGCTACTGATGATGATGGTGCTGATGGTGGTGCTGGTGGTGCTGATGGTGGTGGTGGTGGTGGTGATGGTGGTGCTGATGCGGTGCTGATGGTGGTGCTGATGGTGCTGATGGTGCTGATGGTGGTGGTGATGGTGCTGATGGTGGTGGTGATGGTGGTGATGGTGCTGATGGTGCTGATGGTAGTGGTGATGGTGCTGATGGTGGTGGTGATGGTGCTGATGGTGCTGATGGTGGTGGTGATGGTGCTGGTGGTGCTGATGGTGGTGCTGATGGTGGTGCTGATGGTGGTGGTGATGGTGGTGGTGATGGTGATGGTGGTGATGGTGGTGATGGTGCTGGTGGTGCTGATGGTGGTGGTGATGGGACGCGGTGGCTTCTTGGTGACCGAAGCCTAAAAAATGAATTTCGCGAAGTAGCTCCCAGCATGCGGATCGAAACGTCGGCCTTCGTGCCGAACAACGCGCGGGGAACGAGTCGAAGGCGCACCGGCAGCGCCACCTCGAACATCACCACGAGGGGAGGGAGGGGAGGTACCCAATGTTGATCTTGAAAGAGTCAATCGATGGTGGCGTGGGTGAGGTGGCAGTTTCTGACTCCAGTCCCCACCCCTCGCGTTCCATCATCACCGGCGGGGCGTCTAAAGCCCCCGCGTCGCCCTGCGTGGACCGGGAGTCCAACCCAGACGCTGCTGTGTCCGGGCAGGGAGGGAGGGGGTGGTGGTGGGTTGGGGTAATTCGACACGCGGCTGCTGGTAGGCCCGTTGTGAATGGAGCATCGATCGTCTCGATTATTATCGATCGTGATGTTCACACTGCGGGCATTGCATCGGAACAATGCAAACGAGTCAGACAATACAAACGAGATAGACAATACAAACGAGATAGACAATACAAATGAGATAGACAATACAAACGAGACAGACAATACAAACTAGACAGACAGTACAAACTAGACAGACAGTACAAACGAGACAAACAATACAAACGAGACATAACAATACAAACGAGACGGTACGAGACACGGCTGCTGGTTGCTGTGTTAGGGTTCGAGTCGGGGCTGTTGCCGTCCGCGTGTCTTCCTGCATGGGCCGAGGGGTTCGACGTTTCGTGCTCGCCACGTGCTTTGGCGTGAATGCGACTCACAGAAAACCCCCTAGCAGGGCTCTTCTCCTGTAGCCAGGGATCAATTTTCATTCGGGTGGTTGAACAGGAGATGAGATCCGCATCCAGTCGACGTTCTCTCTCCCTCTCTCACTCTGGCTGTGGCCATACTGGGGCGCAACACCACCCACTCGAGTCTCTCCAGAGACTGGCAGAAAATTCAGCGAGAAATGAAACCGCGCGTCGTGGTTTGGGGTACCTCGTGACGCCTCGGCAAAGGCCATGGCCTGGGGGATGCCCGACTCGAGAGTGACGTCACTGGAGCGCAACAGCGTCACGTGGGAACGCCGCTGTCGTAATCGGTGATGTCGGGCACATGCCACGTGTGTGGCGGGAGGTGGGGGGTGGGGGGAAGGTCTTCAATAAGATCACGAACGCGAAGTCATTTTAAGTCTTCGAGCAACAATTGTCGACATCATTAGACCTCCTTTGCCAGTACCAAAATATAATAATAGGGTTTTTCCCCTTTCAGTTTTATTGCCAGAAAAAAGGGGAAAAACCCTATTATTATTATATTTTTGTACTGGCAAAGGAGGTCTAATGATGTAGATGCTCACCCCGAGCCCTCATTACTTTGATAGTGCATTGTCTTTGAGCTGTACGCCTTTTGGCGTCATCTGGTCGAGCACCAATTGGGTCGAGGCTCAAAAGAAAGCCGTCCCTTGGTGTGGACCAATCAGTTTCAAGGACAATGCATATATTATCATAGTATGTTTTTGTTTGCATTTTGACTGCAGGTATTGTGGTTAATGCAGACATGAATCCTTGTAAAAAGGTTTCAGCTTTTTTGCCAGAAAAAAAGGGGAAAACCCCTATTATTATTATTATAACAACAATTGTCGAGTTGCATTCAACTTACTTCCCACGTGGGTCCGCTTGCCTAGGTTTGAAATTGAGCGGCGGGGTTTCCAGAATCTCCTCCTCCCCCTCGCGCTGCACCGCGATCCGCATGCGCGCCAAATCTCGACCGCCAAGGTAAGCCGCGACGCGCTGCACTTGCCTGATGATTGCTCAACTCGCCCTACGTGACGACGGAGAGCGGTCGATTCAAATGGCGGCGTAGGTCCATTGTGTTCGTGTTTTGCTTGATTCCGCGTGCTATGGAGAAGGGCCATTGCTTGAAACGTCGCCTGTGGTATATTTGTTCTTTTGGGCGGGGGGGGGGGGCGGTGTTATTAACGAACGATGGTGATGAGGCGTGGAAAGCCGAATGGGGTTGACGAGGAGTCACCAACGCCTCCTCGTGAAGGAGCCATCGACGTGGAAGATCCCACAAATCCCTGGCTTTGATCTCCCACGAAGCTCCTGGAGCCACAGCCCCTGAGCCGCATCCACTGCCCGAACCACGACAACAGCAGCAGCTGAAGCGGTGACCTGACGCACAGATGGAACATTCAACATTTCTCCGGCCGGTTGCGCTGTGACTGTGGTCACCACGTCCCGTCTCACCGATCGGTGCGGACCAGCTTCAACAGGCCCACATCGACTCCGACTGCGATCTGTCACGTGGGAACTGTTGAGCAATCATCATCATCAGGCGCGTGCGGTGTGTTACGACTCAGTTCGTGTTTAAACGGGGATGTTGGTGAGCGTGGCTGGGTGGACCGCGAGGCGTGGAGTTCGTGAAGTGGTTGAGGCAGCAGGGCAGGGCGAGGGAAGGGGCCAGTTTCTCAACTCGACACAAAAGCCACGAATTGTCACAGTGGTGGAAGATTTTATTATTTTGTTCCCCCCCCACCCACCCACCGTCGCTGATTTGCGTGGAAAAGTCTGGCAATGTGGTCCGGGGGTGGTGAATGAGAGACACCGCAGAATTCGCGTTCCACCGGTCGGGATTTGCGTTCCGTGTCCCGTGCGGCAACGCGTGCCTCGTGGTGCCCGGAGCGCTCTGGCACGGCTCGGTTCCTCGTGGTCGTGGGAATGTAGCACGTGATGCCTCCTCCCTCCCCTCCCTCCTCTTCTTCATAGAGGCCCCCATTGTTGTGGGATGTCCTCATTGTCCCTCTGGTGTTATCGGGAATTCCCCCGCACCCCACCCCCCTGGCTGAAGGCACTCTCGGGGTCTCTTAGGGGGTCCGAGGGGATGTTGCTGCTGTTGGGGCTTCCGTGATGAGCGCCAATGAGACGAGGCACCTCTGATGGATGAGGAGCCCGAGGCTGGTAACGATTCAGCTCGGGGGGGGTGATTCGATCCCTGTGGGCCGATGAATCGAGGTCGCATCTCGAGTAATTCCCCCCCCCCACCTAACCCTGACCTCGTGTCCTCTCGTCTACCGGTCCCATTGCCTCTCAAGCTTGTGCCTCTTCGCTCGCTCACTCGCTCACTTCAGGACACGCGTTATACTCTTCATCTGCGACAACTTGAACCCTGTCGTTTGTTGCTGGCCGTCTGACGTTCATGGGTGTCTCGGCGTGGGCCCAGCAGCCGTTATTTTGTTTTTTAATGTCGAAACAATAATACCGCTAATGTCTGATGTGCATCAATCTAATCGGTAGGATTCAAAGAGCGCACGATTGGCGAATGCGATCATCCATTGACGTCGATGAAGCGTCACCAGCCGAGGCGTGTGACGTCACAGCGCGGACTCAACAAAATCCTCGCCTGGGTTCGACTCACGATTCAGGCGCCTTTCTCTGTCGAGTTTGTATGTTGTGTGTGTGTGTAGTTTGTATGTTGTGTGTGTGTAGTTTGTATGTTGTGTGTGTGTGTAGTTTGTATGTTGTGTGTGTAGTTTGTATGTTGTGTGTGTAGTTTGTATGTTGTGTGTGTGTGTGTAGTTTGTATGTTGTGTGTGTGTGTAGTTTGTATGTTGTGTGTGTGTGTAGTTTGTATGTTGTGTGTGTAGTTTGTATGTTGTGTGTGTGTAGTTTGTATGCTGTGTGTGTGTAGTTTGTATGTTGTGTGTGTGTAGTTTGTATGTTGTGTGTGTAGTTTGTATGTTGTGTGTGTGTGTGGAGTTTGTATGTTGTGTGTGTGTGTGTAGTTTGTATGTTGTGTAGTTTGTATGTTGTGTGTGTAGTTTGTATGTTGTGTGTGTGGAGTTTGTATGTTGTGTGTGTGTGTGGAGTTTGTATGTTGTGTGTGTGTAGTTTGTATGTTGTGTGTGTGGAGTTTGTATGTTCTCTGTGTGTAGTTTGTATGTTGTGTGTGTGTGTGTGGAGTTTGTATAGTTGCGTGTGTGTGTGGAGTTTGTATGTTCTGTGTGTGTGTGTGTAGTTTGTATGTTGTGTGTGTGTGGAGTTTGTATAGTTGCGTGTGTGTGTGGAGTTTGTATGTTCTCTGTGTGTGTGTAGTTTGTATGTTGTGTGTGTGTGTGGAGTTTGTATAGTTGCGTGTGTGTGTGGAGTTTATATGTTGTGTGTGTGTAGTTTGTATGTTGTGTGTGGAGTTTGTATGGTGTGTGTGGAGTTTGTATGTTGTGTGTGTGTGGAGTTTGTATGTTGTGTGTGTGTGTGGAGTTTGTATGTTGTGTGTGGAGTTTGTATGTTGTGTGTGTGGAGTTTGTATAGTTGCGTGTGTGTGTGGAGTTTGTATGTTCTCTGTGTGTGTGGAGTTTGTATGTTGTGTGTGTGTGGAGTTTGTATGGTGTGTGTGTGGAGTTTGTATGGTGTGTGTGTGGAGTTTGTATGTTGTGTGTGTGGAGTTTGTATGTTGTGTGTGTGTGGAGTTTGTATGTTGTGTGTGTGTGGAGTTTATATGTTGTGTGTGTGGAGTTTGTATGTTGTGTGTGGAGTTTGTATGGTGTGTGTGTGGAGTTTGTATGTTGTGTGTGTGGAGTTTGTATGTTGTGTGTGTGGAGTTAATATGTTGTGTGTGTGGCGTTTGTATTTTGTGTGTATGTGGAGTTTGTATGGTGTGTGCAGTTTGTATGTTGTGTGTGTGTGTAGTTTGTATGTTGTGTGTGTAGTTTCTATGTTGTGTG